GGGCCGTATTATGTGTTTTCCAGGCACATTGTTCCATTTTTCAGCACAGTCACGTAACTATGCTACTTTCAGTTATTAGGTTATAATTGGACATCTTGAAATTAGACCGCTGTCTCTTCAAGAAACTCCTACTCTTTCTGACACTCCGCCTTCAGCACAGAGCACGTCATCACAGCAATGCTTCTCATTATGATGTTTACAACTGTTCTTAGGAGCAGTGGACTGAGAAGTAGTTTACATGATAAAATCAGCAGACTCGTAATTTCACCAGGTGTTTGATATTTGCTGCTGACGCTAGTCTGGAGGAGCTGAGTGAGGGAGTCTCGGCGGAAGGCTTCTCTGTGAGGCGGAAGACTGGCCATAAACTGAAGCTCCAAGAAGGATCTCTGTGGAGATTCAAGGATTTCTCACACATTCCTGAAAGAACCAAGGCAACACTCCAGGCATGTAATAACATTTAACATGATGTAAAGCTAAAAAAACAAAAAAGTTGATTTTAATTAATACCATCAAAACACCATTCACACAACTTTTTCTATGGTCTAATTTGTGCTGAATTTGGATTATTCCTGGCATCTGCTGTGAATTTGTCAATTTATTTCAACTGAAACAACTTTGAGGTGTTTATTGTTATTTGTCTTGCTGTGAGTGGGAGGTCTGACAAATAAAATTGTTCACTATGGGGGGAGCAACTTTCCTGCAGCTCAGGAAGTGAAAGAGGAGGAAAAAAAAAAATCCATTCTGTCATAGATCTGTAATTAGGCCCGAGCAGCGAAGCGCTGGCGAAGGCCTATTGAAATCGTGCTGTTTATTATTATGATTTTTGGGCCAAATTAATTGGCTTTTTGGGGGCTTTATCATATTCAAAAACTCACCAAACTTGGCGGACGCATAGAGCCCGTGTAAAATTTATGTATTTTAAGGTCATCACAAAAATTGCAAAAGAAACGGCTCAACGGCGCCACCTAGCAACTTTCAAAAGACCCTTTCCTATTCACTTACTTTATCGTAGAGACTTGAAATTTGGTACACTTGGAGAGCTCACCAAAACACTCTGAATTTACAATTAATGTCATAGTGCAAGTATCACTGAATGTCGGCCATTTTGGATTGAAGTTCCGATTTTGACCCGATTTTGGCCCTTTACAGGGTTCGCATTTGATCGAACTAGTCCTAGGGATTTTGATGGATCGGCTTCAAACTTGGTCTGTTGGTTCATAAGGCATGCCCGATTCAAAGTTATCAAAACATTGAGTTTTCGTGCATGCTGAAGGGGTGATACCAGGGGTCAAAGTTCACCGACTCACCAAGAAAAATAAAACTTTTATATCTCCTACACAAAAAGTCAGAGAGGCACCAAACTTTCTGTGTTTGATCATCCTTTAGTGCTCTACAGGATGGTATAGTGAAATTTTGAGACTCCATAAGCCACGCCCCCTTAGAACAGGAAGTGTCATGTTTTACTCTGATTGGTGGCTATCTGACCCCTTCGACCTAATCAGTTTCACATATGAAACTGTGTCCAG